TTGATTACTGCCTCTCTGAAATGTTGAATGTCTTATCAGCATCAAAAGAAGTGAAACTTGACCACATCCCATAAGTGGAAGCGGTTTCGTGTAAACAAACACAGGTGTTTGGGCATTTTAAAATATTTAGTTACATGTGCATACATGTACAAGGAAACGATCTTAAAAATTTCCACGTACTATCAACATGTAATCGATGTAAACAAAAAGACCTCAAGCAAGGAAAAATTTTCAATGACCCGAAGATATTGAGGGGTCTTAAATGTTTTCAGTATGTTTCATTCTTACAGTGAACGGCAGGTACAAAAAATTATTTCACTCGTTCCAAAAGGCGCAGAAAGTCAGAAAGGTGATAGAAACGCCAATCAAGCCAGTCTTTAAAGACATATGGGTTATTGACCAAGTGTGAGGTCAAGATGGCTGGATATTGGCCAAGTTCTTTTTTTGCGTGTTTATGGANCAAGATAGCTCCATCTTGCCCGCTCGGGTAGCCAATCACAGTGCAGGATTTGATTCATCTTGCCCGCTCACGGAGCTAGCCATATAATAAAAATTCTTATCAAAGTTTCTTCGACGCGATGCGAAATATAATCTAAATGAACAAGCACCACATGGCGGCGCAAAGTGAGTGTGAATAAAACGGTCCCGAACAGACCAATTTCGATATATTAAAATTCAGCCTAAAACAATAGACCACAGTACGAGGCTTTGGGGAATAAATACAGAGTTTGTGGGGTTTATTCCACAGAGCCTCGTGCTGAGGTCTATTGTGTTAGGCTGAATTTTAATTACATGTACCTTATAAACCATTTCATGCAAATTACACTTTAAATCCAACCAGTCTTCAAAATCCTTGCAAAAGCTGCATACAGGACCAATCTTCTGCTTTGCTGGATACCCATCGTTATTTTTGACAATTCTGAGGCGAGGGCGGCTGAAGCAACACGATCCACGCTTTGTCCGCTCGAGCAAACTGCACGTTACTCCACACAAAATGACTCCCCTGTACCGCTATTCATTACGAACATTGTTTGAGTATTAAAAACCCATTTAAGGACGTCAAAATCACTAATAACGAGAAGTATCAAGGATATTTTCGACCTTAAAACGAAGCAAAGTACCGATCTCGGAGAACTGATCGAAGGACAGCACAGCCTGATGGTGATGACCACTGACCAGTTACTGTGACGTCATAAAACGTATTTCCACGTTTGCCATATCGCTCGTGGTACCAGACTGGCGACGAAAGATATAAGCTTAAATTTCCCCGTTCTTTTTTACTAAGAAGACAATGCTGCTTTTTCTCTTAATGCTAAGCTAAGCTAAGCTCAGTTGTATCAAAAGACTCATACAAACTTCCCTTTCTGTCTAATTTGTAACGACTTTTCTGTTTCAAATAGCCCATTTTATGACAATATCAAATGCCGCGGAAAATCTTAAAAAAATCCGCCACAAAATTTACTACTCGTAAACCGTTACCATGAATATGTTTCGCAGTTGAAAAGAATGAAATTTCGATCAGGCACATGTTGATCTCTTTACAGTTATATCTTATACTTATAATGACCTGATCGTGATACAAAACTAGTGTGAAAGTGATTTTGAGACGGCATTACTGCAATCAGAAGCATATCACCTCTCTAGGTGATATGCTTCTACTGCAATATATTGGCGGCGTTGGGAGAAAACATATTCTTTTATTGAGCGGAGTCACGTAGCACCGTCTCAAAATCGCATTTAGTTTATGGATAGAATACAATTATTTCATGTGCAAACCCAAATACTATGCAGACAAACAGACTGCAAGGCTGATACTACGTGAAAAACGTTTCGAGACACCAACATGACAAGAACCGATAGAGTAGGATCGCAACAGTGGACAGCTGTTTTTCACGTAGTATCAGCCTTGCAGTCTGTTTGTCTTCATACATTTTTTTGGCTGACCAGATCTCTTGTAGATTCTACGTTGGCAGCGTTTATCGTATGCGGTCCCTTGCAGTTTCTGGTTTCCCAAATACTATGCCTGATAGGCGACCAGCCAATACTAGCGTAAAATTAATAATGGTATTTTCAGTAGTTGTATCGCATGTTACCCTTGACAAGCTTACAACATGATTGGCAGCACAACATCTTCTATCGATTGAATGAAGACCCTTGGAATGGGAGAAGTTTTTAGGCTGAATTGGATGTTAAACAGATCAACCTCTAGCTATACTAAAGCAATAAAACAATTTGGTTTCGGTTTTTACCGACTTTGATAGTCGACTCACCCCTCTGCTGTTCGCCAGCTATCAACCGATGGGAGCCTGGTGCTGACAGACGGGTTAAGTAGCTTTAGTACAGTTATTTTTTTCTTTAAAAACCTGCACACAAATTACAATTTGTACGCGGTTTTTGAAGAAGAAAAATATTAAAATTAACCATCAAATATTTAGGAAGTGTTCGAATTTTTCTGAATTAGACCTGAATTAAGGTAATTTCCCTGAAATAAAACTGCCGATAGATTTTTGTTCAAACTGTGTCCACTGAATATTTATCATATGAGAACTTAAATTACAAAATAAAAAAGGGGGTGCCCATGCTCGTTAAGGAGCAGCGAAGCATTAAAAATATCCCATTCTAGCATTATTTAATGCTTATTACAAGAACGCATTCCAAGTTATTGTAAACTCTTTGTGAGCCCAGACTCATGAAAACACGCCTCAAACTACAGTCAATACTTGTGTCGGACACAAATAAACTTTCTAAGTTTGATTTTAACAGACAGCTGAATCCTTGTTAAAATATTGGAACCAAATTGTTTGCAACGGCTATCAAACTGCAAGATAGAAAAGACCTCAGTGCAGCTGCTATTTTCCTTATTTATTCAATTTTCAACAATAGAAATCAGATCAGTCTTTTCTCATGCAAAACTAATGATTAGTTGATTAAAATGACTGGAAAAAAATTTGGGGTGCCGCAGCTCGTTAGTGAGCTATAGCCATTTTTCAACTGACAGAACTCAATATCAAGGCAAATTCGCCATGTTCTCAATGCGCGCGTGCACGAACGCGCGCTAATGACACCATAAATTATGCGCAGTAAGGATGCGCAATGCAGATGTGAGGAATCACCTTAAGAGCAAAGAAAACGGAAGATGTTAGGAATCAATCAAAATCAGTAGGAAAACTGGATTTAATACTTAGGTGTGACTAACCAAAGGAAAATCCTTATTTAGGAATCGTATAATACAATAGCAAAGCAATTTCTTTGGAAAGTTTTTAAATTTTGGAGTATGGTCAAAAGAGGAATACTGAAAATTAAACCAACAACTAAATTGAAAAATAAAGCTTACGAACAGGATTTACTTTCCAATATGTATGCTCTTATTCGTTTGTTCTATGCTATAATTAACACAAAGTTCTTTGTTACAGGCATCGTTGGTGCTTTGTGGAATAACAAATTGCTATTATTACGCTTATGACCCAACGGTGAGAACACTAAATCTTCGTTATGGCTTTTTCTGGCATTTCTATACGGACACCTCCGCGTTGCCATATCAGCGCTGGACTTTTCACTCTTACAGTCATCCTTGTGATTTTCTTTGTCGCGATTACCTACAATTCCTCTCCACGCCAGCCAGTAAACCGCCTAGCTGGACAGTCAGCACTGAAGTACAATCGCTTACAGCCACTCCGAGATATGTTTGTCAATGCGTCAAAGGTCAAGGTCACGGGGTCAACCGTTCAAAGAAAACTAAACGTGACTGATTTACAGGAGGTGAAAAACAAGGTGTCTTTTTTGTTGTTGTTGATCGTGACAACCGCACCCTCGAGGTACGACAGAAGAGAAGCGATAAGGCAAACATGGTGGAAGAAATGTGATGGCGTTGACGTGAGTTGAAAGCAGCTACAAATAACCTCTAGTTTTTTCACTGAAATGTTCTCGCTCTGAAATTGGTAAACAACGCGACTAAAATTCAGTCTATGGCTGACTCAGGATGACAGTTGGTAAACTCACAACCTGATTGGCTACAAGCTGGGCCCTTGGACCGCGTGTGCAGTTTTTCTCAGTTTTTTCATATGGTCGAAATCTTTCTCGTCCCCAGTCCTGCTCGTGTTAAAATGTCGCGCCCTCCGTTTCGCCGATCACGGGATCAAAAGAAACGGAGGTTCTGGGAGCGAGAATGGGTCGAAAGTTATCGATATGTTAGTTTAGGTGTAGACTGCAAAACAGTCGTATTTTTTGCGAACGCGAGCGACGGTCAATATTCGAACGAAAGGTCTGGAGCGAGTGTAAAAACGGCGAGGGAGAATGG